AAAGAAAGAAAGAAAGAAAGAAAGAAAGAAAGAAAGAAAGAAAGAAAAAGAATATAGAAAGAAATTGTTTTGATGAACCAAGATCTTGGAACTGCAGCCCCAGATCTGTAGCGAAACTGTATTGTACTTGGTATAGATCTGTGTTCCTGCTTTAGAATCAGCACTGAATTGTGCAAAGGACACTGGCTTTCTAGTCAGAGGTTGTTGTTATTCAGTTGTTTTCAGTGGTGTTTGACTCTTCATGACCCCATTTGGGGTTTTCTTTGCAGAGATCCTGGGGTGGTTTGCCATTTCATTCTCCAGCTCATTTTACAAATAAGGAAACTGAGGCAAACAGGGTGAAGTGACTTGCCCAGGGTCACACAGCTAGGAAGTGTCTGAGGCCAACTTTGAACTCAGGAGTCTTCCTGATTTTCAGGCCTGGAGCTCTATCCACGGTGCCACCTAGTTGCTCCAGAGTTCAAATCTTGCCTCTGGCACTTTATACTTGGGTATCCTTGGCAAGTCACTTAACTTTCCTGGTCTTTCCAGTGCCTTCCTTCCTTCCTTTGTTCTTTCCTTCCTCTTTTTTTCTTCCTTCCTTCTTTTTCTTTTTTTTTCATTTTTGCAAGGATCTTTATGTATAGTTTATTTTAAAAAACATAAATTTAATTATATTTTAAAACTAAGCGAATGTGCAGCCTCCAGAGATCCTTATGTATAGATTAGTGGATCCTGTTTCTATTTGAGTTCAATGTTTCATTTGTAAAATTATGGGCATGAACTAGATAGTTCTGAAGTCTTTTTCAGGATGAGATCTATGAGCCTATGTGCCCTGGTGGTGACACTTATATAGTTTCTGGGCCAGTTACTTCATCATTCTCAGCCTCAGTTTCCTCATCTAGGAACTTGGATCACAGTAATTTGTATTTTCTACCTCATAGGATTGTTGTAAGAAAAGTGTCTTGTAAAATTTAAAAGTGTTATAGAGACATAAGTTACTATTACTATGATGAAATGAAATGATTATATGTGGTATAGTCTTCTGGACAATCCCAGAATACCACCAATCAAATAATATAGAGCATATCTCTTTCTACGCCAATGCCAGGGGCCTAGTCTATAGTCAATTGCACCCTTGCCATACTCCCTGCAGGAACCAGATCCTGGCTTATTTCAATAGGTGATTCCTTCTGTCCTCTCTCTACAGGCTGCTGAATAGGATGTCCACGGAAGAGCGGCACCTCACCTCCAGCTGTGGCTCCTTTATCAAGACAGAGCCTTCCAGCCCATCCTCGGGCATTGATGCTATCAGCCACCACAGTCCCAGCGGCTCTTCTGACGCCAGTGGTGGTTATGGCCTGGCCATGGGTCATCCCAATGGCCTGGACTCACCTCCCATGTTCAATGGCACAGGCCTGGGTGGCACTCCCTGCCGCAAGCGCTACGATGACTGTGCCAGTGCCATCATGGAAGACTCACCCACCAAGTGCGAGTATATGCTAAATGCCATCCCCAAGAGGCTCTGCCTGGTGTGCGGGGACATAGCTTCTGGGTACCACTATGGAGTAGCTTCCTGTGAAGCCTGCAAAGCTTTCTTCAAGAGGACAATTCAAGGTACGGTGATATCTTTGTGTTTGTCCTCAAACATGAGGCATGGGATGTTGTAGAACCTGGGAGGGTCAAGAGCTCTAAAGAGTTACCATGGGGAAGGGACGTTAGACTGTTCTGCTTGGGCTTCAAAGACACAAGAGACATGGATGGGAGTGGTAGAGAGGAGAGCTTGGCTTGATATACAGAAAAATTTCCTAACCATGAGAGCTGATCAAAAGAAGCATCAGCTGTCTCAGGTGATCATGGGTTCCCCATTACTGGAGGCCTTCAAGTAGAGGCTGGATGGCCGCTTGTTGGTGATATTGTCAAGGGAACTCTTGTTTCTCTTCTCACTTGGTGATTTTTGATTCCTCCTGTGTTGCTGGTTTGGGGCAAGCCACTGCATCTTGGGGAGCAGGAGGCAGGAAACAGCATGGTATGGCTGAAAGACTGCTAAACTTTCACATTGAGCTTGGAATCATGGAACTTGTATTTGAACACCAGGTCTACAATTTTTACTTTTGTGACTCTAGTCACTTCATCTTTCTTGGGCTTCAGTTTCCTCATCTGTAAAATAAGGAGGTTGGGCTAGATGACCTCTGAGGCCCTTTCCAGCATTACATCTACAATTCTATTATCCTTCAACTCTAAAATTCCAAGTCTCATTGTCAACCATGTAACAATAATATATGTATATATATATATATATATGTAATCTTTAATTTAAAGCAATTGCATCTTGAAAAGGAAGATGCATGCACAGATATAACATATCAAGAGCACACATGCATATCTAGGCATATTTATCAGTGCAGCTAAAAGATACATCCAGATTGTGACAGATATTGGGATGATACATGTAAATTTTAGTGCTTTGAAAACTTTAAAGGACTATATAAAAAGGCTAGATATGATGATTGCCATTACTATCAACACATATGTATGTATGTGTATAGCAGCAAATGCTCATAGATGCAAAATAACTCTGTAATTATAAAAACTCTACTGCTACTCATCCTGAAAGGGCAGAAATATTGAATTCACAAGGTCCTTTACTTTATATAATTGATGAGTTCCTGAAAATGTTACATGAAAATTGAATTTTTGTAAACTGAATCACATTTTAATTGCCATAGAGAAGCTGACTATTCTCAGGACTTCTATGTTAAATCTTCTGGCAAATGAAGATCTTCCGATTAATTTATCTAATAAAATTGTATCTTCACATATTGTATTTACTTAAAAAAAGGTCAAGGAGCAAATGTCTTTGGGTACACATAGTTCATGTATGTATACTAGTAGTGCTTCATTTTCATATTATTTCTATCATACTTCTACTTCTGACATATACTGAACAGGTGATCCTGGGTTAGTCATTTCAGGGCCCCTGACAATTCTCTTAGATTTAAGTTACAGAGAAGATGCTAACCTACAATGGAAGAGAGAATCTTCTCAACTAGGAGTTCCTTATATCCATGAAATAACAGATTAGGTCTCTATAGCTACTTTTAGATATAAAAGTTTAAAGTTGCTTTTTAGGCAAGGCAATTTCCATAACTCTTGAGTGACTGAATAGATTTAGTTCGAGTTTTCTAAATTCTAAGACAGAAGGCAGAGACATGAACAGGTCCAATTTCAGCCTGAAAAAAAGTGGAGGTTGGTGGGAAGTAATCTCAGTCAGGAATCAGCAAGTAAGAAAAGCAAGTTGTCTTGAGAATCTGCAAATACATTTAATTATTTGCTACCATGAATAAGATAATGATCTCTGCTTAGAAGTCAATCTTGAACTCTTCCTTATAAAATATTGCCACAGCCAGTGCAGATGGACAGTTGGGATAATGACAGAAATCAGTATTTGACAGGTCAGGACTGAGAAATAGATTTTGAAAGTCAAGAAACTCTCCCATGCGGACCAGGTTGCTTTTAATATCAGTTACCTTTTCAGTTTATTACTGACTAAATGGACACAGAGCAGTAGGCACCATATAGAAGTGGAGAATGTAGGAGTCATAAATCACCTTACAGATAATCTAGTTATAATAATTCTTAACCTTTTTTTTGCATCATGTACCCCTTTGGCATTCTGGTGAAGCCTATGAATCCCTTCTCAAAATAATGTTTTTAAATAGTTAAAATAAGATACATAGGATTACAAAGGAAAAATAATTATATTGCAATAATAATGTAATTTTTCTCATCCAAGTTCATGGACCCCTTAAAATCTGTCTGTGGACTCCTTGATGATCTGTGGACCCCAAGCTAAGAACCTCTGGTCTAGTCCAATTCTCACTTTCTGGATGATGAAACTAAGGCATTGAGACACAGTGACTTTTCTTAATGTCAAAGAGCTAGTGAATGGTAAATCCAAGACCTGGATCCTGGTCTTTGGACTGCATATTGATGCTCTTTCTAAAGTCCCATATCATACACATATTCCAAGAGTCAACCTCAAATAAATCATTGGTGTCAGGGAACAGCTGAAGATGCTGGCCACTGGAATGTACAAAATATGTGTGCCAAAGACCAGTGGTTAGAAGCCTATCTGTATGTTTCTGCAAATGGCCAAATGGGATCTACCCAATTTCAAAAAACATTGGAGTCATCCATAACCACTAGAAGTGTCAACACACCGTGAGAAAGGGCTATTAGTAATGCAAATGTCACTTCTCCAACTCTCATTAAGCCCAATAAGTAATAAACCTATTAAGATATACTCACAAGATATTCAAGCTTCACAAAGTTTTCAGAACTAAAAAACAGTAGACAGGATTTCTTCTGCTTAGCTCAGGTTAGAACTGATCGTCAATGATTTTTAATGGCTCTAAAGCAATGGTTCTTAATGTGTGTGTGTGTGTGTGTGTGTGAGAGAGAGAGAGAGAGAGAGAGAGAGAGATGAACCCCAATGACAATCTGGTGAAGCTTATAGACTCCTCAAAATGATATTTTCAAATGTATAAAATAAAATACATGGAATTGCAAGAGAAACCAATTGGATCATGAGCTCCTTAAAGGCATGGATTGTCTTTTGCCTTTCTTTGTATCCCCAAATGCTTAGTACAGCACCGGGCACGGAGTAGGTGCTTAATAAGTACTTATTGATTAAGTATTGGTCGATTAATTATGTTGAAATAATTATCAGGATTTTTTTAAAACGAAGTTCACAGACACCAGGTTGAGAAACTCTTCTCTAAATGGTTCTCTATATGTGGATGGGGCCCATTTGATAACATGCAGATTTCTCCAGGTACCCATCTAGATTTAGGCCATGACATTTATGATTCTGTATCTTGCAGTAACCTCAGTTTGTGATGTTGAAATTAAAATAGAATAAATGGGGGAGGGTCTTCAGAAACCATCCCCAAGGCTTAATCTCATCAGTGTCTTTTTGATGATGCAGGAATTGAGAATATGTCCGTCATATCTGCAGGTAATATGCATTGGTTGGAGTTGTTAAAACTTCAGAGTAGAGAACATAAAAACCAAACTGTCCTGCTAACTTAGAAAGGTATTCCAAGAAAATAAGAAATTTAGTAAAGATAAAGGTAACAGAATAGACTGAGAGACAGAAACTTGACATGATAATTTGAGGGAGGAGAAAGATGGAGGAACCAAAGACCAACCTGGGAGGGTCAGAGTTTTAATATTAGCCAAAGATGTTAGTAGTCAGGTCAAAGATTGATTTCAAAGTCAAAGACTGATATCAAAGTCACTCAAAGACTGACAGCCGTCAAGCACCATGTGACAAACACCAACATGCCATAGATACTTAGAGGAGCCTGAACTGCAGGTGCTGGGAAGGAATCCTGCTAGTATGTCACTGCAGTCATCAAATCTATGGGAGATGATTGTGTCTTGTTAGGATCATCACATTTTTAAAGGACATAGAGAAGTTAGAGAAGAAAAGAAAGGAAACATCAAATGTCAGTGTTCTACATGTGTGACCTTAGAAAGTTGATTAGCCTCTCTGGGATTGTCCTCTTTTTAACTTTCCTATTACTGTAGAAGGCACCAACATCCTTGTCAGAGGCCCTAGATTGGAAACAAGACTCTGCTACTTTCTGGCTTCAGAAGGCAGCTAAAGCACTAAGCCTGGAATCAGGAGGCCCTGAGTTCAAAACTGACCTCAGATACTTACTAAGCTGGGTGACTCTGGACTAGTTACTTAACCTCTGTTTGCCTCAGTTTTCTCATTTGTGAAGTGGACATAATAATAGCACCTATGCTATTGACAAACCAGCCTTGAAATCTCAGCATCATCCTTGACTCCTCATTCACACTCTCCTCCCTCCACCATATCCAATCTCTTGCCAAATTTGTCATTTTTCCTTTTGCAACATCTCTTGTCTCCATCTCTCCTCTGACATGGCCACCATTGGTTCAAGCCCTCATCACCTCACAAATGAACTACTGCAAAAGCCTGCTGGTGGGTCTGCCTCTCCCCACTCCAATCCTTTCTCTATTCAGATGCTAAAGTAATTTTCCTTATGCCATTGCCTTATTCCCAGTGGCTCCCTATTGCCTCCATGATCAAATATAAAATCCTTTGTTTGGTTTGTAAAGTCCTTGACAACCTGGTCCCTTCCTGCCTTTATAGTCTCCTTCTACCTTTCTCTCCTACCTGTACTCTAACATCCATTGACATTTGCTATTCCTCACAAATGACACCTTATCTCCACTCCATGCCTTTTCCCTGGCTGTCCCACACTTTCTCCTCTGCTTTCAGGGATTTCCCTGGCTGTCTCACACTTTCTCCTCTGCTTTCAGGGATTTCCTTGGCTTCTTTCAAGACTTAAATATTACCTTCTGCAGAGGACTTTCCAGTTCTCTCTCTCTCTCTCTCTCTCTGTCTGTCTGTCTGTCTCTGTCTCTGTCTCTGTCTCTCTCTCTGTCTCTTTCTGTCTCTCTGTCTCTGTCTCTCTCTATTTCTCTCTCTGTCTCTTTCCCTCTCCTCTTTCTCTCCTTTCCCCTCATTCCCTTCCTTCCTCTCATTATCTCTCTCTGCCCCTCTCTCTCTCTGTCTGTCT